AGAAATTTTTAGAAAATATTGTCTATGAACGAATATTTTCTATGAAATTTTTCGACATTCAGGCCGGTAAATGTTATTTAATACTGTTTATCTTAAACAGAGCATTTGCTTAAATACTTGTATCTATAAAATAACAACGTTAAACATAAATAAAATGTCTTTAATAAATATATATATATATATATATATATATATATATATATATATATATATATATATATATATATTTTAAATGTTCGCAATTACGACCATTTATTTTGCTTTGTTTGAGAGAAAAAACGCAACATATTAAAAAATAATTAGTATAAAAAATATTTAGTAAATAATAATATATAGGATAAAGTGTTATTTCTTTGACAATATAAGTTCTTTGAAAAAAATCCCCTAACATTAACAGACTCACAATGTATCCTGCAAAGAATATGTACAATTCATTATTTAACCATAAATTGGATTTCTGTACGAGCCGAATAAAATGAAAAATGGCTCAACTAGTTTTGCATGCGACATCACTATACTAATTCATCTAAATTTTGCTCCAACTAAACGCCACCCTTGTTTTCCACTTTTACCACCAATTCATTCAGCTATAATAAATATAAATACAAGATGCGACAAAAATAAAGACCTTTTCTTATTTATTAACTTATATTTAACAATAATAAATTCCAGTAGTTTAATAAAATATATAAGTAGTGTCAAATCAAAACAATAGGATTTGTTCGGATGTACGAACTATTTGACATGTTCAAAATACTCCCCTTCGTATGCAATATAAGGCTGAATCCTATCAGCAGCATTTCTACAAATCATTTGACACGTTTCTATATTAATTTCAGAATATTTATAAGAAATTATTTGTTTTAATACAAGAATTGTTTTCAGTTTAAGCTTGTAAAAAAGATAGTTCAGTACACACCGCGTAGATAAAGGCAAGTGGTGTTATGTCTAGTGATCGTGATGGCCACGCAATTGCTCCACGTCTTTTTATCCATCTCAGCTCGAAATTGCTTTACTCATTCCCGAACGCCTAAGCCATAGGTAATCTGGAGCCATCTTAAACTGCTGGATTTTTGTTCAATAAAAGGTAATAAATAAAAAGAAAAAAAAAAGGCGTTACTTTTACTGCGCTATGATTTTATGCCAAAAAGCAATCGTATATTTTATATGGACAAAGATGTACTAACTGCTACAGTCTTTCATCATTACATAGATCTGGGTTTATTTCTGAACGGAAAATAGAGAGATTTGACTGGAAAATTAATAGTTTATATCTTGATTTCTGCGTTATCTTGAACTCTGAGTTCTAAGTTATCGGCTAAGTTGGGTTTCAATTATTTTTTAAACTAGCCTAACTCGAAGCATAACTTATTAAGAGTTATAACCAGAATAAAATCTATCACTATAGAAAAATGTGTCCAAGGACAGACAGAGTTTAAGGAGAGTGAAAAGCATAAACACCAAGACATGAGAAACAAAGTTAAAATTGAATTTAACAAGAAATTTAGTAGTCTGAAAACTTAAGAGGAACTTTGTCATATATCACAAAGATATTTCAGATTAAAATTTCAATAAAGAAAATAAAGAAAATGTTTAATTAAGTGTACTTTACTAAACTTAAACGCCATAAAATAATGTCTACATTCGTAGAATAACTACAAGTAAGTTAAATGCTTTCATTCTACATATTTTTTAAGAGTAAGAACTAACTTCTGTTGACTGATAAGTTGAAATAATTGTTCTAACGTAACAAATGTTTCTGGTTGTTGAATGACATTGACAGTCCGCTTCTATCTGAAGAAAATAGAAAGGTTTATCATATATCAATTCGAAACAAGACAAAACAAATACACAGCCGTCCTTTTTAAGCAATTTCCATGAGACTCGCTCTTATCTCTCTAAAGATGACGGTTGCTTGTTATCTGACAGAATACTGAGGAAAAACGAGATAGAGTGAATGAAGTTTTTACATGCGTTTATAGAGCAGCTACCATCCGGTAGATTATTTTGAAAATAAATTTTCATTTTTTTGTTTTTTATCATTACAATATGTTTGATAAGGAAGTAGGAAGATTTAATTTCGTCAAAATCCAAAGAGCTGAGAATGGCATTAATATTTAGATCAAAATGAACCCATTGCATCGACACTTTTTTGGCTTTATCTTTCCAAATTGCATTTTCTGCAATTCAAATGGGTTCTCATGACTTGTTTGAGAAAAAAACATGATTCTAACTGTTCTCTCTTGAGATATGGGTTAAATGTCATAATAGACAAGTCTCTCTACACTTGTGTGGTAACCATAGTAGGTGAAAAACTAAGCTGATTTCAATAACTGTAGAGAAAGCAACGAGAAACCAGCCAACAAGTTTTCCCTGAAAGTCATGTCATAAAAAAATGCAATTATCCCAACATCCTGAAACGACATGGAATTTGAAAAACTATATATATTTTATCTTTTAACCATAAATATTTATCATACTAGCAAATTCCACAAAGACTGAAGGTTTTACTGCAAGTAAATAATATGAGAAAAATTTAACAAGAAAGGTCAATAAAAGAACAGAATTCAGGAAGACAGAAAATGGCGATTGACGTTGCATTTGGAAGCAGCGAGTAAGTTACTTGATGAGTTTGATTAAATGGATGGTAGAACATGGCTTAGGAGAAATAACAAAAAGAAAAAAAATTACCAAGAGCTACAAGTAACAGGAAGATGTGGAGGGCCATTTTCTTCTACATCCTGAAGAGACAGTACATAAAAGAAGAAGGTGGTACAAAACTAAGAAACCAGAAGAGAGTTCCACAATCGGGAAGTGCGGACAAAGACACTATTAGAATAGAACTTACGGTTGCATTTCAGCATTAAAACCATAAGACCGAGTTGACAATTTAGTAGTACATTTGAATTCATGCGTTCGAGATTCCAACGACGAGAGTTCATTAAAACAACTGTCATGAAAATATTTATAGAAAAGACAGAGAGAAGCCAGGCCATGGCGGTTGGAAAGGGACTGAAGTCGAGATGCCAGGTCTGCATTGGTAATATTACAGACACTACTTTGGATTTTGTCCTGAATCTCCTAAATAGAAGGAACACGAGATCTGATTTGGCAACATGACTCAATGCAGACACGAATGGTAGATTTAAAAATGTGCAAGGTGATTCTGGTGAGAAAGATTGTCTAGTACGACTCAGTGAACCAGTTTTTTTCTATCGGCAGATATAGTAAGTGATTCAATATAATCAATCCATTTCATGTCAGTGGAACACGTGAGACTATGAACGTGCAATGAGTTGCTCGTCTGGGTGGGGATAACATCAGCCCTAGTGATAGAGGGCAAAAATGGTTATCTATGATGATTAAAAGATAGAAATTTCGTTTTAATTTTTTAGCATCATTTTATTAATAAATTGTTTGTTTATCAATTACATGCACATGTAAACAATATGCGAAATATATTAGTATCATTCCTATAATAAATTGTATTATATCTTATTTTCAATTGTATACACACACACACACACACACACACACATATATATATATATATATATATATATATATATATATATATACAAGAGAGAGAGAGAGAGAGAGAGAGAAAGATTAGACTTGTATGTAGCCTATCAGTTATCAATATGGAAACAGGAATTGGTCAACATTCAATTTCCATTTTCGCATTAATATTTTTAGGGAAAAAGACATGAATCTACCTGTTACCGCTTCAGATATGGGTTAAATATCTCGGTAGTCTAGGCTCTCTTAACTTTGGTGATGCTCAGTGTAGGAGAAAAATAAACTCATATCAGTAACCATAGAGAAAGCAACGAGTATCTACCCCACATTTTTTCCCCAAAAGTTGTAGTATTTCATTGGTAATAAAATTATATTTTATAGTGAGCCACCTGATACCTAATGTCCTGAAGGTATATGGTATTTAAAAAACTATATATATATATATATATATATATATATATATATATATATAAGAAGGTGGTGTGTGCATACATAAATACATAATAATATAAATGTAAGGATGTCATCCATACATTACTAAACATTCATCTTCTTTATCTTCCGCATCTTTGTGCTGCATCCCTTCAGGATGTTGTCTGTCATGGCTCTCCACGGGTTCCTTTCCTTCGCAGCTCTTAATATTTTTTTTCTTTTTGCTCTTCCATCTATTTACTCAAGTTCGCTAGGTAGGCTACAGCTTGTTTCCCTCTGTCTTTCTTGCCTTCAATCAATCCAGTGAGTCCTAAACTTTTCACGCACTTTTTTCCTAAACATTTCAATTCATTTTCTGATATTAAGTATTAGTTTTTGTTTCCATTTTCACTAAAACTTCATCGTTGCTCACATATTCGGTCTATGTTATTCCCAAAACCCTTCTGTAGAACCAGATTTCTCTTGCTTCTTGTCTCTACCTCATCCATGAAGAACTTGTCAAGCTTTTCCTTCCATGTAGGAGAACTGATATTATCTAAGAGTTCAGGAATATTTTCTTTGTTTCGCTTTTTCTTAATACTTTGCTTTAGTGAACATGTTGCTAGGGAATGTTACTAGCGGCTGTCGAACTGATTACCTAGTAAATGTATTAAAAAAGTTATTCGGATATTTGTAAATGTAAAAGATAATAAGAAAACTGTAATGGAAGCCGTCAAATATGGACTTTTTCAAGGCAAAAACGAAATGAATTTATTAAATAAAATAACTAATAATAACTAAAACAAAATGTCCTTAGCAACTGGAAGAATTTAGAGAACGCTATTTTCATACTGTTAACTGATAATTACGTCAATTACTATTGCAGTTTTCCTATTGCCCTTTACAGTTAGAAATATTGTTTTTTTTTTTTTCTACAGGTGAACTCTGAGAAAGTTTTCACATTATTCGTATATCTAAACGTCAAATTGAATTGAACGTCGCTAAATAGTCGATGTTAAAATATAGTTTTATTACTAAAATTAGCTTAGTATTATCACAAAATGACACGCATGGTTTACGCAATAAGGTTCGATCTCACGACACAGAAACTGCATTACGCGAACCCAGTTTGCTCATCATTACAATATGGTGAGTGGTCCACAATATTAAAAATATGTGGAAATGTATGTGGATGCGGGAATAGCGAGCAGTAAAACCTGGTTCGTGTCATGTTATTTGAAGGTGTTGTGTTTACATTTAACTGTATCGAAAGTGGACAAGCCAGTTTAAATAATAGTCTTTTTTTAATCTAGATACGTTTTAAAGGGTAACATTTGCACAATCTACTTAACGGACGATCGTTTCTTAACATTTTGCTAAAAAGAAAAGCAGATATACAATTTTATTTTCAAATACTTGATTATTTTAACGTACTATCTATCTATCTATCTATCTATCTATCCATTTGTCTGTCTGTGTATTTATTTATCTGCTTATCTATCAGTCTGTCTATTTCTCTGTCTCCGTTTTCTTTACCCATCTATCTACTTTGCTAGATAGCTGCCGCATTTTCTCTTCTCTATTTAGCTAGTTCCATTATTCGCTTACTTTCTCTCTTTTTCTTTGTTTCTTTTTTTCTTTCTTTCTTTCATTCATTCTTTCTTTCTTTCTTTCATTTATTTTTTCGTTCTTGCTTTCTTTTTACTTTCTTTCTGTTTCCATTTTGTCTATCTAAAGAAGTACCTCGATTTCCTTCCATTTCATTTGTTAGCAAGCTAACTAGTGTTCTTTCTTTCTGTAAAACGCTTTTATTTATTCTTTCTTTCTCTCTTTCCTTCTTTCATTCATTCTTTCTTTCTTACTTTCTTTCTTTTATTTATTCGTTCTCGCTTTCTTTTTTCTTTCTTTCTATTTCCATTTTGTCTATCTAAATAAGTACCTCAATTTTCTTCCATCTCATTTGCTAGCAAGCTAACTACAGCGTTCTTTCTTTCTGTAAAACGCTTTTATCTATTCTTTCTTTCTTCCTTTCTTTCTTTTTTCATTCATTCTTTGTTTGTTTGTTTCTTTCTTTCTCTCATTTATTTATTCGTTCTCGCTTTCTTTCTTTTTCTTTCTGTTTCCATTTTGTCTATGTAAATAAGTACATCGATTTTCTCCCATCGCATTTGTTAGCAGGCTAACTACAGTGCTCTTTCTTTCTTTCTTTCTTTCTTTCTTTCTTTCTTTCTTTAAAACGCCTTTATTTATTTATTTATTCTTTCTTTCTTTCTTTTTTCTTTCTTTCTTCACATTCATCTATCCGTCTCTTTATATTTCTCTTTTTCTCACTGTCAAATTTCAAACTTCTTTTCTGACATAAAATTTGATTAACATATAAATATAGCGATTAGTAAATTTCAACTTTTTTTTAAGCCAACGGAATATTAATTTTAAGTTGTATCGTGTTTGTAGGAATAGTAATGTTTTGCAGTTGGAACTAATAAAACATATTTCCATGAACCTTACGCAACCTTATTAATACGAAAATATCTCTTTAAAGATACAATTTATTATTTGATAAAACAATAGTTTTGTGTTCAGTTATTCTTATAACTGATTAACTGCCAGAATTATTATGCTATTTTTCATTCATATAGAATTTTTTTTAAATACTTCACATATTCTAGTAATCCTTTGTTTTTCGCATCATTTAAAAACATCATATTTAAATAAGTTTAATCCACGTTATTTTGTTGGAAATCAGAGTTAAGTTATACTATATATGGTGTCATTATACGAGAATTCATGCAACATAAAATATTTGATATTGATCAAGTGTGGGTAATGCAAACGGGGTTTAGTGTAGACTCATCGTAACACTATGTAATTTAATCTGGAAACAAAATAAACAAAAAATGTATCAGGCTGCAACAGAAGAACGAACATTCTTTTTGTTTGTACAGTTTTAATGTTTAGTCAGCTTTTCATTAATCACAAAATCACCACTGAAACTTCAAGCAAAAATTATATAAGCAGACACAGTTTCTAGAGAAATCACTTTCGACCATTTTATTCAGCTATTCATTCGTGTGAACATAACTATTCCTCTATGCATCACTGGGAATTTTTTGTAAAGACTTGCAATATTATTGCATTGAAGACAATGAATCGTTCAAGAATGCTAACTGATTGCAAGGAGCATGACGACAAATAATGAACTTTACCTCTTCGATACAATAATCTTCTATAAGTTGTGTCCCTTCACGGTGTGGGTGATCAAAACTCTACACGTCTTTTTATCCTTGGTAATTCTTACTAAGTTTCGTCCTTTGGTTATCTCCCGTAATCCCTGTTCTGACAACCACGCCTTTTAGATTATTTGCTGCTTTTCTATGTCTCAGTTGGATTTAATATGCCCGGTGAGTGTCAAATTTTCCAACCCGGCTGTCCTAGAAATTTCAATAGTCTAAATATTCTGCCATTTTCTGTAAAACTTCCTGTTTACTCACATATTCAGTCTATGGTATTCTCAGCATGATATAGAACTGTATTTCTGTTGTCTCAAGTCACTTTTCCATCTGTGATGTGATCGTCATGCATTCAGTGTAGAACCACATTTCTGTTGCCTTAAGTCTGTTCTTCATCTGGGAAGCGATCGTCCGGCATTCACTGTAGAACTACATTTCATTTGCCTCAAGTTACTTCTTCAGCTGTGATGTAATTGTCCAGCATTCTCTGTAGAAGCCCATTTCTGTTGCCTAAAGTCTCTTCTTCATCTGGGAAGCGATCGTCCGGCATTCATTATAGAACCCCTTTTCTGTTGTCTCATCCCCTCGTCTGCAAAGTTGCCGTCCAGTAGAACCTCATTTCTGCTACCCTAAATCTCTTCTTCATCTGTGAAGTGACCGTCTAGAATTCACTGTAGAACCCCATTTCTTTTGCCTGAAGTCTCTTATTCATCTGTGAAGATACTGTCCTTCATTCACTAACATATCAAGACAATTTCGAAGGCTAGAATCTGTTCGCTTTGAACCATAAGTCTTTTATTCTGGATACTGATGCAATAAGATAGGCAGAATATTTAATGTTATGCCACTGAAGAGAGTCATTATGAACTTTTTTCTCCCTCTTTAGAGTTTAAAACAGAAGAAATTAGTACTCGACCGGAATTTTCTCTGGAATAAAACAAACACTATAAAAGATTTAATTCTTACTAACTACAGAATTCATGGGTTTTTGAACATCCATTTGAATTTTATTGACAGCTCATTTATATCCTATATTATGGCATATAATATTAATGTATGCTTGTCGATGATGCTTGGGTAAATATTAGCTCATTAGACTGCTCAGTGAAATATACCAGACCTAGGATTTTTGAGATTATTACATATAAATACAAATAGTCTATCTCACGGCATATAAAATTACCTTTTACAAAAACAGCCACAAAATGGGAGTTGATAGGTTCGCCTATCGTCCAGTTCACATTCCTTGAAATTCTTTTGAATTGGAGTAGAGATCTATCCTTAGTTTTCTGTTTAGGATTGATTTTGCAGTTCCTGCTGCTAAAGCTTTCTCATTCCCTTTTATTTCCAGTAATCCCGTGCATCTTAATGCTATACTTGTTTGGGGTGAAATAAAAACAAACAAAAAAAAATAAAACATATCAGACTGTATCTTAAACTCTTATTATTGCATTACTGATTCAATAATTTCAAATATACACAATATTTGATACACACCCTTATTCTGATGACCCCAGTAGGAAATATAAAAGGCTATAAATAATGTACTTTAGATTATAAATCAAAACCGTTTTAAAATATTAAAATTATGTAAATATGGAAGAATCAACAGTTGAATATTACGATTATATATATATATATATATATATATATCACTGGCGACTTCCGGGGTCGGGCTTAGCCCAAGTAAGCCAGCATTCAAGTATATCTATTTCAAAGCAACAAACATATCTCGTAGTACGTCGTTTTCATCCTTGACTTTAGCTGGATTCAAAATTGTGTCTTTTTTAAAACCGTTTCTCAAAATATTGACCGAAATGCAAGGAAAGAAAGAAATAAAAATAAGTAAAAAAAGGAATTAAATAAAATTAAAGTGGCTAGACGGGTTACGTAGATCTGAGAGAGCTCTATCTGACCTAGAGACATACTTAATAGGCTATGTATGTCTTGTTTTAATTTTATAAATAATCTTTTTAAAATCTATAGTAACTTCTATGCCCTGGTTTAAAAAAAAACACACTTTTATTTCAATTTATTGTTTTCAAATGTCAATTTGAAATAATTTCTTCCGTACAGCATAAGGTTTTTTAGCACCATGTATCAAGTGAAAAGGTTAATTTTAATTTAGCCCGACTGAAGTCTGCCAAAATCAAAGAAAGTGGCAGCCTTAAATCGTCAACTGGAAGTTTGTGGTAGGGAGTGTGACTGGGATAGTGTTGAGGAAATATTATATCAGTCAGCAGTACTCATCATAAACGTACAATAAATAAAACTAAACATTCACAGACAGAGAGATGCATAAGCACACTGACGCATAGACATATATACAAACACACAATCAAGTTAGATACACACGTTATTTGATATATATATATATATATATATATATATATATATATATATAATAATGAGAAAGTATAATATCATAACCGGTTTCAGGAAGACACAAGGAGATTGGTGTTGCATGTAATTTTTTTATGATTGTAAGTTTCAGGGAAGCAAGAAATCGGAAGAGAGTTCCACATGTGGGAAGCGCGAGAAAAGAAGCTATTAGAATAGAACATACGGTTGCATCTAGCTAGTTCAGTAGTAAGACGGTGAGCCTACTTGCCAATCTAGTAGCGCACTTAAATTCATGCAGTGGAGACACCAAGGAAGAAAGTTAATCAGAAAATTTGCCATGAAATGATTTGTAGAAAAGAGAAAAGGCAGAGGAAAACTACGTCAAGTCATTAAAAAAGTGTTTTACATTGTAGAAAATACGGCACTTTTTCTTCGACGAATCATGAATGTATCTACATAAGAAAACAGGATACAGAGGGAAGATATTTTTAATAGTGAACATTTTATTTCATTCATTTTTTTTTCTTTATTCGTGTTTTTTTTTTTCATGATGGGTCAAATGTTGTTTTTTTGTTGAACGACAACACAGACAAAACGCAAACGATTATCGTTCACAATAGCAAAGCGTGCGTGGGTGAAAAAACAGAATGAATTTAATATCGAATGAAAGTCGTGATGAATAATCCAGTCAGATACCATAGCCTAATTGTCGAGCTGATGAATTAGCGCAAGTTATGAGCTTTCTGCATTTACTAGATTTTTACTTCTGTTTTTGTCAGAATTAATTTTTCCACGCACTGTGCTGGTAGAATCGACGTCTAAACAACTCCAATATTTTCGACTTTATTTGCATCGCAGAATTAGTCTGGTTCATTAATACCGAAAAACAAATTAAAACAAGAGAAACGCTCACATTCCAATTAAGAAGTGTCAAATTTAGCTTATTTAGTGTTAATTAAATCTTATATATATATATATATATATATATATACATAAAAATGTGTGTGTGCGTGTGTGTGTGTGTGTGAAAAAAAAAAAAAAACAGAAAATTTTTATAATTGCACATTCCATGAAAATGTTTAATTATGAGCACAAAAATTTTATATATATATATATATATATATATATATATATATATATATATATATACGCATTTTTTATATATATTATTTATATATTATATATGCGCGGTACTTATTGGAAAACGATCAATATCATTGATAGACCTAACATATTTAGTTGGATTGGTGTTAGTATGTGACTCTGGGTTTCATACTATTTGCGATTGTCTGACGATCGCAAATAGCGTGAAACACTATTGTCTAAAACTGTTTAATCCAACCTATATATATATATATATATATATATGCGAATATCAATCTTTCGTACTGAAAAATTAATTTATTTTCCGCAATAATATTTACTTTTCAAGAAAATCACCTTCTGTGTCACGGCACATAATTCAGTCACAAATATTAGCCCTATGCATAGTGAATTATAGAGAGAACATTCCAGAGAAAAACTCAGCAAATAATTATATGTCAGGATACTTACTAATCCGTCCATGTATATATTTGTATACTGTTATTTTATGATCAATAATGCATATAATTTTAACTTTTGCTATATTTTTTGCTTAACGGACTCAATATCTGGGACAGAGCGTATGTAAATATAAAATGGACACTGAGTTTAAGACCGAATGGATACAGCCTGTTTCATACTTGAATGCAGTCTTCAGGCTATAAAGTTAGCGTTCAAGCATGAAACTGACTGTCAACATTCGATATTAATGTGTCTCTATATATATATATATATATATATATATATATATATATATATATATATATATTTGGTCAGATTTTAGGAAATAGGTCGGAGCTGTGAACATTTTAGCGTTCACTATTCTCTCTTGCACTAAATATCTCTCTCGATATATATATATATATATATATATATATATATATATATATATATATATATTTGCGTGTGTTCAACGTGCGTGCGTGCGATCCAGATAGATAGATAGATAGATAGATAGATAGATAGATAGATAGATAGATAAGTTGGGTGCCGAAGAGAACTCAACCCGACATATTTAAAAAAAAAAAAAAAAAACAAGCAAATTCTGATATTTTTTCATTTCGTCAGACTTTTCGGAGGTAGGTCGAGCTGAGAACTTTTCAGAAGCTTAAAAATTTCTCTGTCTCTGTGTTTGTCTCATTTATACAACACTCATGCAACATTGATGTACTCACGCACACACACACACTAGTAACACACGCCCACACGCGTACACACACACACACACACACACACACATACATATATATATATATATATATATATATATATATATATATATATGCGTGTGCGCGTTTGTGTGCGAATGGAAGCACACGATATACAAAACACACCAACACAGTTTTTATTAAAACAAGTTAATCTTTATAAAAATGAGATTTTAATCTGGCTTTTTAGTAATCTAATCCAGGTATGACTATCAAGAGCGTTGCCTAGAGGTCGATACATTTTACTTTCTTCCGTTATTTCACATTAATAAAATATCTATATTAGCCAGCAAATCAAATTATCATTACCCTTCAGAACGAGGGTGACCATTGCTATCAACAATTACATGTCTTTGTATTTTTACTCCCCCCCCCCTAATCCCTGTTCTTCCAACAGCTCGTTAGGACAGTTGTGCGCTGTTTTCTCTGTCCCTCTTGGTTCAACATGCTTATTAGTGTCAAAGTTTCTAAGACGTGACTATAAAAGTCTTTTCTTGTAAAATGTAAACGCTTTAATGTAAATTTCCTATTATAGAAAATATATATATATATAAAAGAAATGTCCTGATCATACAAAACACAACTTCCACGAAATATTTATTACTTATTAAAATCAATATGTGATAAACGTTTCTCACGCTTTTTAACCTTTTGAGTATTTATTTAAATATGAATTGCGGCTCGGATTGAGGAATCGGAGAGCCGAGTTCGAATTCCAGTCGGATCCATTACATTTACTTATGGGCTCTATCACTTGGGAAATGTATGAATCCTCCTCTTCTCTGAGCTATAGGTAAATAGTATGACAGACTGGGTTCTATAGCCTTGGATGGCATCTGGTCTAACCCAGAAAGAAATGGCAACCTACTGCGGGAAAAAATCTGCCTCCTCAGTTACGTATCGAAAAACATGATCGCCTAAGCGTGTATCACGTATGGTACATAACTGACTGAATTACAAATCTGAATAATTTCCTGGGGATTTGCTTGCTTACCGAAATCCTGAATCAATAATCAATAACATTTTTTTTTTATTTTATAAAGACAGTAATTTATAAAGACAATAAATGTATATATTTACAGAAAATAATCTCACGTTCAAATTTCGAATTCGCCGTTTTCAATAATCGGGTTGGATATTGTTAGAGATAATTCACCGAGAATAAAGTTTTGTTTGTCGACTAAAACTTCATAAGTCTCACGAGTTGGAGAATTCACAATAATTCAGTGGGATGGAAGATTCTTAGTCGAACCAATTAAAGCAAGATCGATAAAAAAAGAAGAAAAGCGCATAATAATAAAAATAGAGAGAGAGAAAGAGAGAAAACTGTAAGACGTAACACTGGGTCAAGTTAGTAGGTTTTTACTTATGTCGGTGAAGCAGTTTTTATTTTTTCCTTCATGTCCTTTTTTACGATAGTAATCATGGACGTTTCTGTTGTTCTTTCCGTACACAAACATTCTCCTTACAAATTAATTAGCTGGAAAATACTTACACTGGACAATGTGCAAACACTTTGGAAAATGTAAGCAAACACTAGTATGAACATCGGCCAGCGCCGGTTACAGAAATAGAAGATGTCACCATTCTATGGGATTATACCATCCACACAGACAGAAAAATTGAAGCAAATAGGCCGGACATTATTGTCAAAAACCAGAAAGAAAAAAACTTGCCTACTAATTGATATGGCTTGTCCAGCGGATTGTAACATAGCAACCAAGGAATTTGAAAAACTATCAAAATACAAAGACCTGGAAATTGAAATAGAAAAAATGTGGAAATTGAAAACAAGAATAATACCAGTGGTAATAGGTGCACTTGGAATTATAAAAAATGGAACAAAACAACACATTGAAAGAATCCCTGGAAACCCCAGCTTAAGAGACATACAGAAAATTGTCTTATTAAGTACAGCACACACACTAAGGAGAACTTTGTCTATGTAACGCTAGCAACTTCATCGGAGAAAAAAAAAAAAAAAAAAAAAAATTAACATGAAATGTGGCCATAACAACACACCACGACCTGCCTTAGGTCTTTCCGCAGACTTGGTAGGTAGTGTGTCCATAGCAGAAATCGAATGATGATGATGATAATGATAATAATAATAATAATAAATAGCAATAAAATTCTATAGAGATGCGAAACCGTCCAAGAGACAGTATTATTGATAGGTATAAATAAATAACAAGAGGACATTTTGCATATTTTTGTAAATTAATTAATATAAAAAAATATAAAAAGTTACTGAAAATCAAATTTTCTCATTGCCTTTCCATTCTGGGACAATTGGTTTATCAGTTAAAATTGGTTTGAAAATTCAATCAGTAAAATTAATTTTACTTCAAATCAATTTTAACTATTAACCATATGAATTTAAAAAATCTGATGTCTTGGATAATAATACTTTATATATTCATAAAAATAAAAAATAACATAATTCTTTTAATTGGTCAATTTTGGCATCAAATACAAAATAAATTCTGAAATGTGAAAAAAAAAAAATATTTGGATACCACAATTGCAAAGAACAAATCATAAATAAAATCTTTTAAAAAAAAAAAAAAATACTTCCAAACAATGCTAATATTTTTTAGATATCTATATAAATAATTTTAAACCTTCATCTTCGACATTTATTAAATTTATTCATTTCTTAAATCTAAATCTTTAATAATTAAAATGAAAATTTTTAAAGAAAAGACTTTTAATGGAAAAAATGGATTTTTGAATGAATCCAAAATTCCAATTAAAACAAAATATTATATATAATATATAAATATATTTAATATATATATATAAAATAAATATTTCAAAAAAAAATGATTAAATCTGATTCATTTCAAACTTCAACAATCTAAAACAAGGGATAGTTTTTGATGTTTTTTTTCATGTTTTTTGCCATTTACATTCAAAAAAATTCTTCTAAAATTAAAACGGAAAAAAATATAATTAAAGTAAATCAAAAAATCAGATAACTCAGCAGTAACAATATTAACAACAACAACAAAAAAAATAATTTTTAAAAAAATAATAAAAAATTAAAAATAATTATAATAATTTTACAAAATAATAATTAAAGATATTAATACAAATCTATCATAGAACCTCCTTTTACCTGAGAGATTTCCAAAAAAAATATTTTCAAATGATTTTATTATTGAAAAAAAGTTTATATTTAAGTAATTAATTTTATAGTATAG